GGCCCGCCTCCCCCCCCCCCCCCCCCCTTCTCCTGAGAAGCTCTGCCATTGCAAGTGACAAGGAGAAGCTTCACAGACATTGATGCTTGCCCCTCCCACCACCACCATCACATTACTGACCTCCGCAGCCTGCGTTACATTACTGACCTCTGCACTCTGCGTTTATTATTAACGCTCTCTCCCTCCGCCCCTCTGCTGGGCCCGGCCAGCCGCCCTGAACAATCGGGACCCAAAGCAGAGGCTGCACTGTAGTCAGGCAAATTAGGCAGCTGTCTCGGGGGCCCACGCAGGGGCTTTGCAGAAGGCCTAATTTGTGAGAGTACAGACCACCCAAGGCTGGCAGCGGCAGAAATATCCCAGAAGGAGAGGTAAGGTGAGCGCGTTGTACCCCGCGGAAGAGGGGGAGAGCTGGGGGGCAGTGGACACATAGGCAGTGAGAGAGGAAAGGGGTGGCACAGTAGCAGTGGAAGAGCCAGATGGGGGAGGGGCTTGAGAATGGACTCTGGATCCGCCCCTGGTTGTACCATGTACAATTGCATGTGGACTGCCTCTGACAGGTGTGAGTGCTGTCACCCTGTCATTTACTTCAATGGGTATAGTGGCCACATCTAACCAGGACACCTGGGTTTCCTGCAGCAGTAATCTGTAGGTTCTTTCCACAAGAATCCCTGAAAGCACTATGTGAATGGGTGCAGCTGTATGAATGGGCTCACAAAATACAATCCTGCTGCATTCAGACCCGTAAAAATGATGCATATGAATGCAGAGTATGCCCGTGTGCATGTCCCCTAAGAAGTGCTGCTAATAACAAGTCTTTCTTCTTTTCAGCTGAGTCGCTATCTGGTAAAGGAACGTATCTAAAGAGGATTCGTTACCATGGGCGAGGCAGATTCGGCATAATGGACAAAGTGTACTGCCATTATTTTGTCAAGTTGGTGGAGGGTCCCCCACCTCCTAAAGAACAACCAATCACAGGCTTCGATCAGGCGAAGGACTATGTTCAACAGCTGAGAAACCGCACCATCACCAATTCCCTGTGACACTATAGACTTTTTCTGGAGCTGCAGTGTCAGCACATTATTAACTTGCACTTGAGTTTTCATAAAATCCTGTCTACAACTGAGGTGTATTCCTTTAAGTTTATTAAAGAGTTTCTGTTTTCTGAATGTCGGTGTTGTGTATAGTATATAAAGATTAGTGAAAGAGACGACAAAGGTCATGAACACAACGTACTTTGATGTTTATTGTTTTCCTTCACACACCATCATTTTAAATGACCCTTTATATGAGTCTACAAGAACAGAGCCTAGGCATTCCCAGGTCCTTAGCATGAACCTCTGAAGGAGGGAAGGGAAAGTGTGACAATGCTATTCCTGCTTCAGTGAGGTTGGCATCGTCCTTTCGCTTTCCCTGTCCTCCCACAATGCAGTGATCTTTAAGACCAGTTGCCAAGCCTGAAGGTTGTCATGTGGGGAAGGATGGGGGGATTGCACGTAACAACCACAGGAAATGGACAGTATTTCCATCAGATCTTTGCAGGGACCTCAGTGGTGATCGGGGAAGCAGACAGGAATGGGGAAGGTAAGTAAGACATTCATTTGGGGTTTTAGTTAAACGTAGCAAATATTTGACTTGTGACTTGAATACCACTGCACCACAGTTGGGATAAAGTTTGCAGTTTCATAGAAAATTTGCCCTGTTACCTGGAGGCACTCTTAAAAGTTGGCTACACGTTTAGAAATGTGTTGTATAACGTACATTTAACCCAATGAGTCTAATCATTTACTGGCCTCCATTTTAAACTGAGCTACGAGAGAGACTTTAGAGGTTGGTTGGGTGAATGGATTAGAATACAGCAAAAGCACATCTAATCACGTACTAAAATGTCACTAATTCCTGCTTTTTGTCTGTAGTAATGCTGGTGCCTACAATTGCTACACATCTCTACTGTATGTCACAGCAGGATGCCCTTCTGTGACCGCTACAACAAGCAATAAAATATCAGTGAAGCTTTAGGGAAGGAACAGGACTTTGACACGTGGGTCACTTTTCTCTACCGCCATTCAATCAATACAGAATGGTCACCTTCCTGCCCCAGCTTGTGAGTGGATAATGAAGAGTAGCAGCACATCTTTTTGCTCACTCTCCTGTTAGCATATTTCATATAGTACTTCAGTGCCTAATTGGCTCCTAGTGCTGCCACTCCCTCTGCCAGATCACAATGCAAAACAATATATTCATTTTAATGGCAGCCTAACCAGCAGCTTATACTTCACTTTTCAGTACTTCTGATCCATTTGACAGTGACGCACGCCTCTCTCCCAGATAAGAGAGATGGCGCTTTCAGAATATTGATCGGATTCATTGGAATCTCAGAAGCTAGAAAGACTTTTTTATTAGTTTCATGCTAAGTAACAATCATTACAGAATGCCTTGACACGTTTCGCACATCTGTCCTACTCATAAAGGACCCTATGAGTAAGCATGCGTGAGCAAAATGTGTCAAGGCATTCTGTAATGATTGTTTTGTTGCTTCAAACTTTAATAAAACTGCCTCCTGGTTTCCCAAATCTCATTGCGTCCAACCATTTTACTGCTTTCTGCTTGTTTAACAGTCAAAGACTGTGTGGGTGCTGAACAGGAGATACCTTGCGGTCACCTATGTGGCAGAAGTTCTGCAAAGCCATGGTACTATGTGACTGGCTCATCAAGCATCCAGTCACATGAGGGCAGGGAGAGAGTCCTTAAAGGGCATCTATAGTCAAAAACGAAAAATAAATATGTATAAGTTCTATCCCACTCCTAATAACTATAATGATCTAAAAATTTGTAAATCTTCCTAATGAAGATATCCATAGGATGTACTTCCTCAATGCACTGATACAATTTTACTCAGCCCTGTGAGTATGCACTTCCTCAGAGAGCCTGCCTTCTGAACTACAACTCAATGTCCGAACAATCTAACATTCAAATTTCTTGCTGGAAGCAATGCATGATGGGAGATGTAGTCTTGAGAAATCGAGATTGCTTCACATGAAGCAGCCGGGAAAGAGATGCAAAGCACACTGGGAATCCAGGAAATTGTTGACAGTGATGGGCAGACAGAAAGCAGCACTCAGGCAAGCTTTGATTGCATTATCAAATACAAATCTAGTACAGTGGTACCTCGGTTCACGAACTTAATTCGTTCCGCGATTCTGGTCGCAAACCGATTTGGTCGTGAACCGAATCAAACTGTGATCACACCGCGATCTCGACTAGAGGAACACATGACCATGTGTTAGAGCAGGGAAAATGGCTGCGAATGTGTTCGTCACCCGAAGCGGAGTTCGCGAACCGAATTGTCCGCGAACAGAAGCGTTCGTGAACCGAGGTACCACTGTATGTATTCCTTTTAAAATGATAATGTAATAATAGGAGAGTATATGCTGGGACTTTACAACTCCTTTAAAAGCTTAAAGTTTTCTGGCGGGGGAGTAGTGGCAAGGTAGCAATAAACTGCTTGTGGGACCACCATTAATGTGAACCTTGTAACTTGCCCTGAATTTTAAAAACACACCACAAAAGTATCCCCACATTTTTTTCCACTGCCTTTAAAGAATCACTTCCAAGTTCCATAAAAACTTATTAAATTACTGTACAAGACCTGGTACCTACCTTCATGAGGGTCTAAGTGACGGTTTCTTTTGCTGTAAATGACGTTGCAGTGCAATGCATCTGTTCTGACTCGGAGGGCCTTTTCCTGCCCCTCAGACTTCAGAGTGCACCGCCAAGGTCTTTATCATTCATGAAACCTGTAATTAGACAAATATATTAAAAAAATATACACAGTAATTAGTATGTACAGTGGAACAGCCAGAATCAGGACTCTATTGAGCAGCTTTATTAGCTGAGAGACATTGATACTGATAATTGCAGTAGAACTTCACAATGACATTTTATAAACAGCATAAATTAGAGTTACGTTAGCAGAACAGTCTTCCACGAAGAAGCCTGTAATTAATCATCCTCTCACACTATTACGCAGACAGCCTAGGCTGCGGTGTCTGTGTGCCTCTCATTGGGCTCTGGTGGATGGTTTAAAACCTTCCTGAATTGGGTTCTAGTATTAGGGATAAAGTGACAGGTTCTCTTGATCAGTCACATCCTTACCTACCTATAGTCTAGCTCCCTTGGCGCTCTGTTTACTTGCAGCAGCACCAAATCTAAATCCTGTGAAAACTCCATATCAGTGTTGGAGGTTACACATGGTTAAAGACCTGCTCCCCTCTCCCAGTGTGAGAGTGTTCAGCCCTGGCAATTTGCCACTTAGGCCCAATCACTGAATCAAAGAAGGAAGAGGAGATGATCGAATGTCTCCAATACCTGAAAATCTTGTATTTGAAGTTTGTCAGATACTGCGGGCATGCTCCAGGAGATGGTCATTGGCTGTGCACCTACTCCAGGAGATGGTCATTGGCTGTGCACCTACTCCAGGAGATGGTCATTGGCTTTGCACCTGCTCCAGGAGATGGTCATTGGCTGTGCACCTACTCCAGGAGATGGTCATTGGCTTTGCACCTATTCCAGGAGATGGTCATTGTCTGGCTTTGTACCTACTCCAGGAGATGATCATTGGCTTTGCCCCTACTCCAGGAGATGGTCATTGGCTGTGCACATACTCCAGGAGATGGTCATTTGCTTTGTGCCTACTCCAGGAGATGGTCATTGGCTTTGTACCTACTCCAGGAGATGGTCAGAAACAGCAGACATGCTTACAGGAGGTCAGAAACTAGATACCTGCTACAGGAGATGGTTAAAAACTGTGAACATGTTACAGGAGATGGTCAGAGACCACAGGTCTATCGCAGTAGAGGGTCGGAGACTGCAGATATACTACAGGAGGGGTTGGAGACTGAGAACACATTATATAAAACTACTATAGAACATTGCCATTACAGTCACTTTACAAATCATACACATTTGTGCTCCCTACAGCCACCTAAAAAAATGATTGTTACCACATTTTAAATTTCCCCCAACAAGATACATTTTAAAGATCAGAGAAAAAATATGGGAAGAGAGTACTGGGAAAGGGGAGATGCAGAAAACAGAAAAAGTAAGAAAGTATGAAAGAAAGAAAACAAACCATTGAACAAGTAGATGGGTGCATGGCAAATTATAGACAGCATGCTGTAAATGGCAGACAGTGCCTCTTGCAGCTATTGCAATCAATGGGACCGTAGCCTAATGAGGTAGCTGGTACATATTAAGATATACCCCGTTAAAAGGGTAAGGCCCCTATTTATCAAGCAGCACTCAAGGCAAAGTCTTGCGATGGTTGTACAGGGATTAAAAAATCGTACGATCTGCCTGTCTTGGACAGGCAGATCGCACTCTCGATCATCGCAAGCCCGCCCCCCTGAGGGGCGGGCTTCCGATGACCGCAATGTGAACGGGCAGTGTGCGCGTGCGCACACCGGCCCGTTCGGCATTTGTCTTCCGAGCAGCGTTCTAACCAGCCGAGAATCGTACGATTCCCGGCTGGTTTTCGAACATGCTGGTTCGACGGAAGACGTGCGACCGTACAGTAGAAACGGTCGCACGTCTCCGTTCACACTGCTCGATTCTCGTACGATCGCGGGATTTCCCGCGATTCTCGTACGAGAATCGAGCAGTGTATGGGCACCTTTATGAGGTGTATCCCACAGCCAGGATCATTGGCCATTCTTGTACATTTTCACTTTTATTCAGCTGGATAGTATAGCTCATGCTTTACTTCCAGCCTGTTGTGGCTCTAATACACAGATACTGTGTTGTTTATCCACCCCTTCTCTCCCCTGGCCTATTCACTGAATGAACCGGTGAACCTTTTAAAAAATACAGAGGGGGGGGGATTTATCAAAACTGGACCATACGGAATCTGGAGCAGTTGCCCATGGCAGCCACTCAGCTTCACTCTTCAGTTTGTTCAGTTAAAGGAGAACTATAGGGTTAAGTTTTTTCCCCATAGTTCTCCTTAGGGTAACGGGAGGACACAAACTAGCGTCCTCTCGTCACCCTAGGCTCAGTATACCGCGAGCTGTGGCTAGCGGTATACTGAGACGCCGCAGTAG